AGACAACTCATTGTGGCAAATCCGTTCTATACTTGTTTTTCAATAACATGAATATGCACTCAGTGTAAATAAATCTCACCTAGCGACTCCACCATAATCCAACCCTTCTTCACTTCTAAATTTGACCATTAAACGCTTCTTTAAATCCTTTGGCCTCATTTTCATCACTTGTCGATATGATTCCTAAACAGAACAAAGTACAGCTAAATATGTTCTGTAAATTAAAACCTGAATGATTCTCTTAAAAATCATAAAATACATCTTTCAAAGTTTCCTGGGATAAATACAAACAGCTATCATCTGCAAAAATATACAATCTTTAAGACTCATACAATTCAATTTTACCTCAAAGATTTCATCTCTGGAGACTTCAATGCGGCAATGCCCGGCTTGCGGTTGTTGCAAAGCAAGCTCATGCCTCAGAACTTTCAACTTCTGCACCAGATCTCGCTCGCATCGTGGGACAGACCACTCTCCTTCTCCTTCTTCCACAGGTGTCTCTGTCTGCACTGGCAATGGCTGGTTTGATTCCTTCAATTGAGATGGGTTGCTATAAAGAAGCATCAAGAAACACTATTATTTATGAATCAACTAATACAACAGAGAGCCACATAATCCAGTTTGTTGATGACACAAAGACTACAGGCATGGTCAGAAGCTGGCAGTAAAACGTCAAGAGACATTGACAGACCGAGTGCATGTTCGAATCTGTGGTATACGAATTACAGTGCAAATAAGTGTGAAGCCATTCATATTGATCAAAAAAAAAGAATATTTTTCAAGTGGTGAAAGGTTAAGAACAGTGGAGGTCCAAAGAGATTTAGAAGAAACACAAAATGTTGTATTCATATATGCATTAATGACCACTGTATGTCTCAAAGTACTTTAAAGTCAAATAAGAACCTAATGTGTAATCACTGTTGTAATGTAGTATGTATGACAGCCAATTTGCGCACAACAAGCTCCCAATGGCAGTTCCCACAAACAGCAATGTGATAAATGGCCAAACAAGCTGATTTCTGTCATACTGCTTGAAGGATAGATATTGGCCAGGAGACTAAGGATAACTCCCTTGCTCTTCTCCGAATAGTGCCATGGGATTTTTTATATACACCTAGATGATGAAAAGGGCCTCATTTTAGCATCTCTTCTGAAAGACAGCACTTTGAACAATGCAGCCCTCGCTCCAGGACATCAGACTTAATTTCTGCCCTCAAGTCCTGGAGTGGGAATTGAACCTGAAACCTTGTTACTCAGACAGAAGGGTACAGGCACAGATGGTCTAGGGTCCATGTTTACAGATAACTAAAATTATTAACAAGGAAAAATTCAAAAATGTTAGTCTTTATAAATATAGGGCAAGTATACAAAAGTTTTGATACAGATGTACAAGCCATCGTAAAACCATATTTGACGTAATGTATTTGATTATGGGCAAAAACCTTAGAAAGGGGTGTATTGACCTTGAATGGTTGCACAGCAGATTCAATCTCTCTGACAAAAAGCAATATAGGCTAACAGAATTAAGATTGATAAGATTTTTGCTAGTCTTGGGTGTTAAGGGGAATGGGACCAAAGCAGATGGATAGATTTAATAACATATCAGTCATATTCTGACTGAACAGGTTTGAAGCACTGAACGGCTTATGCCTGTTCTTAAGCATGATTTAATTGCACTGAAGGAATAGGCAGCTACACAGACATCTCTACAATGACAGCTTTTTACATGTTAAATCTCCAATCATGCTCTTCATTAATACAGTATTGGGCATAAGGCATAAATGTAAAATTATCCTCCAAGTACAGCCAGTTAATCAACAAACAAAGTGAGCGTAGAAAGAAAGAAGGTACGCAATAAAGAAGATCAAGAAATGGTTGGAGGCACTGCATAGTGCAAAGGCTACAGGCCCTGGGAACATTTCGGCAACTGTACTGAAGATTTGTGCTCCAGACTTGTCACTCCCTAGCCAAGCTGTTCCAGTACAGCTACCCAACAATGTGGAAAATTGCCCACGTATATTCTATACAGAAAAACCGGACAAATCTAATCCGGCCAACTACCACCCTATCTCTCCACTCTCGATCATCAGTAAAGTGATGGAAGGTGTCATCAGCGGTGCCATCAGGCAGCACCTGCTCAATGACTCCAAGTTTGGGTTCTGCCAGGGTCACTCAATTCCAGGTTTCATTACTGCCTTGGTTCAAACATGGACAAAAGACCTGAATTCCAGAGGCAGGTTGTGATAGCCCTTGACATCAAGGCCACATTAAACCAAGTATGGCATCAAGGAGGCCTACCACAACTGGAAACAATCGGTGTCAGTGGCAAACTTTCGGCTGATTGGAATCATATCTGGCACATAGGAAGATGGTTGAGGTTGTTGAAGGTCAATCATCTCAGCTCCAGGACATCTCTGCAGGTGTTCCCCAGGGTAGCGTCCTATGCTCAACCATCTTCAGTTGCTTTATCAATGACCTTCCCTCAATGGTAAGGTCATAAGTAGCCGTGTGTGTGAAGATGATTGCACAATGTTCACTCCCATTTGCAACTCCTCAGATATTAAAGCAGTCCATACTCAAATGTAATAAAATCCAGACAATATACATGTTTGGGCGATAAGTGGCAAGTAACATTTGTGCCACACAAATGCCAGACAATAACCATCTCCAATAAGAGACAATCTAACCACCATCCCTGATTCCCGCACTATCAACATCCCTGAGATTACCATTGACCAGAAACTCTCATAAACACTGGCTACAAGAACAGTTCAGAGGCTAGGAACATTTTGGTAAGTAACTCACCTCTTGACTCCCAAAAGCCTGTCCATCATCAACAAGGCGCAAGCCAGGAGTGTGATGGAATACTCCCCAATTGCCTGGATAGGTGAAGCTCCAAAAACACCCAAGAAGTTTGACACCGTCTAGCATGAAGCAACCAGCTTGATTGGCACCACATCCACAAGCCTCCACCAGGGACACTCTGTAGTAGCAGTATGTACTATCTACAAGATGTACTGCAGAAATTCACCAAAGATCCTTAAAGACAGAACCTTCCAAACCCATGACCACTTCCACTTGGAAGGGCAAGGGCAGCAGATACATGGAAACACCCCAACCTGCAAGTCACTAACCATCCTGACTTGGAAATATATTGCCATTCTTTCACTGTCGCTGAGTCAAAATCCTGAAATTCCCTCCCTAAGAGCATTGTGGTTTACGTACAGGATGTGGACTGTACCAGTTCAAGAAGGCAGCTCACGACCGCCTTCCCAAGGGCAACTAGGGATGAACAATAAATGCTGGCCAGCCAGCGATGCCCACATCCCACGAATGAATAAAAAAAAGGCAAGAAAAGCTACTGCAAAAATTTGATTCAACCATATTCATCCAAGAATCAAGTATCATAAACATGACACTGGCAAGGTCTGTTAGTCCCCAGATGTTGTGGTATCAGAGGGTTATACAGGACAGGAGATGATTGGATGACACCATGAAAATACCTGGACAAACTAAAGGTACTAAAATTTGAAGAGGTCTGGGAGGGGGCAGCTAGAGTTAAAATTAATACCTATTTTTACATCACAATAAAGGCGTCATTCTTAAAAACAGAGCAAATTGTGCTTCAAATTGCTTACTTCATTATATGGTGCAGTCTGGGATCTGTAAACTGTGTAGTTCTGTTGTTGTGATCCACAAAATATATTCTTCCTGACACAGTACTTCTGACTTCCCACCCAGAAGGCAAAGGACCAAGCTCATCATAGTTAAAATTTGTAAGGTCCCTGCATAAAAAATTACAAATTACATTAGAACAAGTGAAATTATCTATGCAGCAGAAAGTGTTTCGTAAGCGTAGTTAATTTTGTTAATTAACCTTGGAATTCGAGGATCATGCCAAGTGCTGACTCCAGTCTGTGTGTGCAAGAAATAGATCTGTCCCTGTACAGTTGTTCTCTGCTCTGAAAACAAACAATAATCTAGAAATAACTATTTCTCTTACAGAATAATCTGCACTGCAAACATTCAACATATTCTCCTTGCATAGACTCCAGTTACACAAAACATGAAAACTGAATATATGTTCTGTCAATTGCATCTTCTCTTCATTTATAATCAACGTAAGATGTCAAGTTTGTGCTTCTACTGAGAGAAACTGCAGCTGATGTGCTGGTTAAAATTCTGTCAGTAGCGGCACCTTATTTTCCTTTCTATGAAGTTATAAATGGGAAGCCATGTATTACAATTTTGAATTTAATTTTAAAACTTACACAGTCAAAAAAAATCAATTTAGCCAAACATCTATGAAACGTTTAATCAAGTGACCTGCTCAGATCAGAGCTGCAGGATTTGTAAAATGTAAAATGGCAAAATTTGCTATGTACGTGCACAGAAACTGAGGAATGACTAACCCAATTAGCTTTTTATTGGTATTAGAGAAAGGTGAGTGCTGCAAGGGAGGTGATGAAGAAAAAGGAGTGTGAATTAAATTGTATTATTGTCATGTTTCTTTGAGCTACTTTGTATTACCGAAAAGTGAGATGAAGCAGTCTTTGGCCACAGTTTCTCTATACCTAGTTGATAGGAAGTGCTTAAGGTATTATTTCCTATGCTTCACTTGCTTGATTAAGCATACCTTATTATTTACAAATTTGAAAGAAAATTCATAGATCCAAAAGCTGAAGACACTTGCATAATTTCAGGATCAACAGACCAGAGTACAAATTAAGGGAGCTTCAGATTATTTTTCATGTACTCCACAATTCTCCATCATATGAATGGAGATAATTTTAAAATTTTATGTTATATCCAAAGTTATTCATTTGAATTAGTGACTATAACGGGGGCAAGAAGTCTCAGTTACTCAGCAAGATTGCTGCTACAAGATTATTTGAGCTCTGAGTAATGGTAAGAAAGTGGTAAATAGGCAGCAGGATCTGTATGGCTATATGAAAAGTTCTAGGTGGCAGCTCTTGCAGTGTTTTATTCACTTTATTAGTGCTCAGAGTCATAATGGAATCACCTCATCCAACAGTCTCTAGTCAAAAACAATAAGCCAACAAGTTTGCTAAAATCTCTGCTAAGTGTTTGTTACCGAACCAAATATGGAAAGAAATCAGTCTATTCATAAAAAATCTAAATTATATTCATCAGTTAGTGTGAGAATGTAAATCTGTATACTGTTTTATGAATAAAAATTCATATATGAAGCATTTTTCAAAGTACCAATGATTTATGACAATCACAAAATAGCTGTTTGATTTTAGTACTCCCGTCTGATTACTAGTTAAGGAAACACTACTGAGTGCAAGCTTTACCGTATCCCTCTGGCAATACAGGTGACTGATGGCCATGAGGCCGACTTTGTGGCATGTGCGTTTGAACTCGAACCCCAAAATTTCGGATTCGCTGTGTCTGCAGTCTCTGTTCCTGGTTTGGAGACTCTATCAATTGGCAGTTCCCTCCGCCAGCAGCACCACTTATGTCTGCAAAAGGTACCGTGTCTTCCATAATACAGCTCAGCGGCCTTCCGGGTCCAGCATCCTCAAAAAGTGGCCTGTTACAACATTACGTATAATCAGCATTCAAATAGTATTCCTTAGCTACGATATTACTAACAGAATAAATATAGTATGAATGTAGACCTAACAAAAAGATAGTAACCATTTTGTAATTATGTCTTAATACTCAGTTGAAAATATTAAATTAGAAATAAGTGCCAGGAAGTACGCACTAAATAAAAAATTCTTCTGTTTCATTGGAGACAAGGTAAATAATGCAACTGGAAAATAGATAAGGACACTTCTTTACAAATACTTCTAGCAAGCATCCATATAATAGACAAAGATGCTGGTTTAAAGATTTACTGATAAAAAAAATTACAAAAAATGCAAGAAATGTGAACATCTAAACTGTTTAGATGCAAGTACTCTGTGTTCCCTCTACTTTGCCCAGCTGTTGCACAGAACTCCAAAGTCTGTGCTCGACAGCAGCTGAAGAAACTGGAGAATGTGACAGCACAGCAGCCAGGGCGTGCAATTCTTTTGGATTGTTAGTTCCACAGCTTAAATGGAATTTGCAAACTAGTTTTCAGAAATTGTGCTCGCTGATGTCAAATTATGCAAGTTCAACAAATGTAACATTTAATAATCTGTTGAGATGAGCTAAATCCTAGAAGTCAAACACTTTGTTCCACATTACAGACTCTTAATACACACATGCTGAAATTACTTGCTGTACTGCTTACTATGCAGTAATATTGACATTCAGAAAAGGCATAAGCAGTGAAACAAATTCAAAAACATTTACTATTCACTAAATAGTTACCAGTTGCCAATTATTCTGAAGAAATGTACACAAAAATGCTAATTCAAATGTTACTCTTCATGCCATCAACTCAGTTAATGTCTAGGAATTCTAATGTAGTTTTAAAAAAAAACCAAGATGCACAGCTTTCAACTATGCTGTTATTGATTCCATGATCTGCCTAATGCTTTGCATATGACCATTACAATTTAGAAGTTATGCCTTGCCTAAGTTGCATTATTACTTTCTCAAATTTCTATGAATTTACTTTCTATTTAAAAAATTAAATCTTAGCACCAAATTTCTTCCCTCCTGAAAATGGTAACACTTTGCACAAAAGAAATGGATTCTCAGTACATACCACATGGTTTAAGTGCCTAACAAAATGGTTTGCAGGTCTTTGACCACAATTTGAGTGTTCAGTTCCTAGGTGCCCATCTACAAGACTTAGGCAGCAGATCAGTGAATAAAGACATATGAACTAGGTAGAAACAACAATAAATCAAGGTAAAACATTGGGCAAAGGTTTGCATGAAATAATTATGAAACTATTGGTGTACTAAATTTAAGCTGTAGATCTAGACCACCTAAATAACATTCTCTACTCCAGAAAATAAATGCTCTATTGCTTATTCTTTTCCAATAAGTTGTCTGCAGCTAAATATCAATTTGATTTCCCTTTCTTCCGTGATTTACAAAGCCTACATGTGTTATATTACAGACATCTAAATTGTTCATGGCATTCCAGGTGGGGTTGCACTTGTAACAGATTATCATTACTTTTTGAGATCTGTGTTCTACCACAATGAGTGATCAAAAATTTCAAAATGGGCTGTATTTTACATCTCTGTGGCATCTCTCACATCCAAATGCAGCCAAACTAACCATGTGCCATCCCCAGAACAACTCACCATTCAGCAGATATATGCCGAAAGCTTGACATCCCTTGCATCCATTCCATTCTGAGGTGATCCTGTGCCCCTGGCCAAGTGCTAGCAAACCAGCACTGTCCCCTCACCTATGGCAAGTATCCGGCATGACAGACACTCCCTCGCATATACTACCCCATCACCTCACCCTAGTTGCTGCTTAACCACCACACCACACATTGTATCTGTCCTGAGATACATCCCCTCTGTGTTCATGATACTCTTTTCCAAATGCCTAGTGGTCACCAGTATCTTAATATTGTCTAATGGGGGACATTACATTCAGGAAAGCAATCGGGCAAATTCAAACATGAACTTCAATTGACAAGCAACAAAACAGAACACAAAGAAACCTAATAACAGCTGAAGTTCACACTCGCAACACCAACTAAATACTGGCAACTTTACCTTGATAATGATTAAATGTCTTCTGAACCAAGCTGGCATCTCTTGCAGGTATCAATCAAGATCTGTCAGTACTTAAAGGCCCAATACAACTGAGCTCTGTCATCCACAAGGACAGCTTCTTCCAGCTCAATATTCTCATTCTTCTTCGTGGACAACTACTCCTGTTCTGCTGGTTCCTTGCAATCTATCACATTGCCTGCTCCAATAGTACAGAACACAGCACGCCATGATGGTGTGGCATATTCTGTCCAGATCGTACTGGCGCACCCCCCAAGATCACTCCAGGCTGTGGGACTGCACTTCCAAAAGCCCTTCCATCACAGACCACCAATTTGGTAAAAATGCTATACTGGTTGAATAAACATTACGTCACTCCAAACGTATGTGCGTGTTGCACTCCAAACTCCTCCTTATCCCAGATACACCTCAACCATTCCACGTTCCACTGCATACATTGTAGCCTGTCATCATTAAATGATGCAGCAATATTCCCCTTGTTCCACAGTACTCTTGGAAGCTCCAAAACAATGGGGTGCTTTTGGCCAGTATTCGCCCTACTTTTAAGTTATTGCTGCTATATCATGCATCACTGAGATGACAATGTTAGTTTAGCTAGCACCAATGGCACGGTGCAATCTGCCTTTGACCAACATTTGACGCATAAGCTTATTCACTCAGCATGCATTTCATGTGTGCAAAGAAATGTTTTATGAAATGAAGCTGGAGTTTACAAACGCATGCTTCATGTATTTGATCCTTCAAAGTCCTACTGTCCAGCAGACATGGATCCCACACTTTCACCCACCAAAGTGACACAGACTCTGCTCAACCTGGGTGTTGCCCCCACCATTTATCAGTTGCATTGTGCATCTAGAGAATGGCAAATAGTGGTAGAGAACACAGCTCACAGTGGACACTGTAAGAACCAGGCTCCGTGTGGTTACCAGGTACCGCCCTGCCTACAGGCTCAATGTATCTTTTTACCTTGTACTATTCCAACAACCCATTTCCACTTCTTATCCCCAATGTGGGGACCCAACACATTAAACTTCACCTTCATGTGTCCTCCCTGCCCCGAAGTCTGACATTTAACTTCAATGATGCCTCTTCTGCTCCTCTACACTCCCCTGAGGCCACACTGGTGGTCACTCTCCTTCTTGAGCCTGTTGTTGTTGTTGTCACTGTCATTGTCCAGGTCCCGACCCCTGCTTTTCCTCCCCAACTCCAGACTGGACATTCCCCATTGCTTTTGGTAGTGATCATCCCTGCTGTCCCTGTAGACCCTCCCTTGCACCTTCCTTCAAAATTGACAGAAACAGTTGCGGCCTGCAATGGAAGTCTGTGCCTCCTGAAAAGGCTGCAAGTGCATCGGAGAGATGCCAGACCTGAGCAACTTGGAGGTCCTTTGGACCAAGTGGTGAAATGAAGTCAGCAGGTTCTCTGCTTTCATGTCAAAATTTCTTGACATCTAGCTTGTTCAGCATCTTTTGCAAGATAGGAAGCGAAACATGAATGAGTAGATTTTGACCATTAACAAGGCATTGAACAAGCACTAAATCCCCAGAATTGGCAACTTGCCATCCCGCTTGTCAAAAGCATAAAAGATGGAGTGAGATAATCCTGAAGTCGCAGAAGACCTCACTGGATTTCTTGTCTGATCCTGCCACAAATATTGTCAAAGCTCATGTCACTCAGACCCCAATAATTTTGACCACAATCTGGTAGTAGTCTTCTTCATATCTCACAGAGTCATACAGCATGGAAAGAGACTCATTAGTCCAACTCGTCTGCGCCAACCAGATATCCTAAACTGATGTAGTCCCAGTTGCCAGCATTTGGCCCATGTCCCTCTAAAGCTTTCCTTTTCAAAACCCATTCAGATGGTGTGATTGTACCTGCCCCCATCACTTCCTCTGGCAACTCATTCCATACACGCACCACCCTCTGCATGAAAAAGTTATCTCTCAGGTCCTTTTTAAATCTTTCCCCTCTCACTTAAACTTATGCCCTCTAGTTTTGGACTCCCCCACCCCAGGAAAAAGACCTTCACTATTCACCCTATCCATGCCCCTCATGATTTTATAAACTTCTATAAGGTCACTCCTCAGCCTCCAACACTCCAATGAGAAAAGCCTCAGCTTATTCAGCATCTGCCTATAACTCAAACCCTCCAGTTCCAGCAACATCCTGGCAAATCTTTTCCACACTCTCTCAAGTATAACAATGTCTTTCCTATAGAAAGGCGACCCCAGAATTGCACGCAGCATTCTAGCAGTAGCCTCACCAATGTCCTGTACAGCCGCAACATGTCTGCCAAATCCTATACTCAATATTCTGACCAACGAAGGCAAGCTTACCAAATGCCATCTTTACCACCCTGCCTACCTGCAACTCAGTTATAAGATTTTTAAAAACCTTTCCAACACCCTTCTCTGGGTTATTGTTGAATGTGATATGGCCAGAGTTTGAAATTTAGCTTGTATTTACAAATTTTCACATATTTTTCAGATCAATCATTTTTGTTGAAAAAAACCATGTGAATATTAATATTACAGCTAGTATGATCATATGTTAGACACAGCAGATAAGAAGACAACTGAGAGAAGTGGGGCAGTCAACACAGGTCTGAGGGTGTTGAACTTAAATGCATGCAATTTATGAAACAAGGCAAAATCAGTTTGTAGCACAGATTGAAATTAGCGGACATGATGTTGTGGGCGTCACACAGACATGGCTGCAAGGAACTCAGGGCTGGGAATTAAATATCCAAGATTACACCATATCGAAAAGACATGCAGATATGCAGAGGGAGCAGGGCTGCCTTGCCGGCAAGGTAAACTAAATCGATAGCAAGAAGTGATGTCAGGTCAGAAAGCATAGAATCTGGGTAAAGTTGAAGACCTACAAAGAAAAAAAAGACCCTGATTGGAGTTATGTACAGGGGCCCCCCCCCCCACCAAGGAATCACGATATGGGACAGAAATTAAATCAGAGTGATATTATCTTTCTTACATGCTTTTTCTATCACAATAATCATGGGGGACTTCAATATGCGAGTGGACTGGGAAAATCAGGTTGGTAGCAGATCTGAATATTAACTTCACTAGCTTCAAAATCTCTCCATCCCCAACCTGTCCATCTTCCAACTCACCTATCCACTCCATCCTTCTCACTGACCAATCACAATAAGCCCCTACCTGCATCCACTTGTTTCCATCCCATCCACCCTCCCACCAGCCCCATCACCCTCCCTCTATTCATTTCTGGGCTCCCCTCCCCCTCCCCAGTCCTGATGAAGGGATTCAGCCTGAAATGTTGACTCCGCTGCTCCTTGGATGCTGTCTGACCTGCTGTGCTTTTCCAGCTCCACATTTATTGACTCTTGTGGTACAGCCCATTGGGGATCAGGCAATTCTGGATTTGTCGATGTATAATGTGGCAGACTTGATTAGGGAGCTTAAGACGAAGGAGCTGCTAGGGGGCAATGACCACAATATGTTATAATTCACCCTGCAGTTTGAGAGGGAGAAGCTGGAATAGGATGTAATTGCATGACAATTGAGTAAAGTTAACTAAAAAGAATGAGGGAGGAGCTGTTGAGATTTGACTGGAAGGCAAGTCTAGCTGGAAAGTGGAGTAGCAATGGCAGGAGTTTCTAGGGGTAATTCGGGGGGCACAGCAGAAATTCATCCCAAGGAAGAAGAAACATAATAAGGTGAGGACAAGGCAACGATGGCTGACAAAGGAAGTCAGGGACAGCATAGAAGCAAAAGAAAAAGCATACAATGTGGTGAACAATTAGTGGGAAGCTTTTAAAAATCAGCAGAGAGTAAATAGAAAAGCAATAACAGGAGGGAAAGATGAAATACACGGGTAAGATAGCCAGTAATATAAAAGAAGATTTCAAGAGATTTTTAAATATATAAAGAAAAAGGCAAAAGTGGAACTTGGACTGCTGGAAAATGAGACTGGAGAAATTGTAATGGGGAACAAAGAAATGGTGGGGGAACTGAATAGGTACTTTGCATCAGTTTTCATGGTGGAACACAGCAGTAGCATACCAGAATTTGAGAAGAACAGGGGATGGAGGTGAATATACCGGCCATCTCTAAGGTGGTGGTGCTGGGGAAGCAGTTAATTCGTCCAAAGATTCGGGTATAAACATTCCCAGGTCTCTGTGTTCTTGCGTCACTTACTTTGTTGCTAAATAGAAATCTAAGTGCAGGAAGTTTAACTACTGCCATATAGAAATGATTTTAACACAGATGAGCTGTGTTGGAACTAGTATTTTTTTGAACATGTTAAATGTTTTGAAATATATGAAATATATCTAAACCATCTATTGAGAGAACCTAAATTTACAAAGAAATTGTGATTTTTATAAAATTGTCCTCATGGTAAAATCACCTCCAAGGCATCCAAATAAACAAAATCATTACTCACCCCTCAGGTAGATCATTATCCAATATTCCTCTGCAATCGACAACAGGACCACCAGTTCCTATTCGATCTCGTGTTTGTAAACTTACTGGAAGAGGAAAAAAAAAATTACAATCTTTGGTTTCATAAATTTTAAGTAAATTATACAATTCAAGTCTTCAATGTTAAGTTTCAATATACTGGAGACAACAAAACAATTTCAGTTCCAAAATTGATAATATAGTTGTCATTGCTTCTGAATGTGAAATTCCAAACATAATTTCTTGAAGTCTCAGCCCAGAGGCCACCTTTAGGGTTATAAAGTCAGCAAAGGTGAGCCCAATCCTTCTCTCACATCCGGCATGCTTCAGCAAAGATTACTGAATAGTGTCAAGTGTGGGAATACCAGTTAACTGACTCCCGGTCCCTTAACTGCTCAATCCTTTATATTGAAGCCAATAGAAGCACCCAACACCAAAATAATAAATGTAACAATAAATCATACAAATGAATCAGCTCTAAGCACAGACAATCAAAACATTAATTATCAACTTGGAAGTCTCTAACTTAAACCTCTCTCTTCTTGGATTCACACATAGAGGGAGAGACAGAAAAACAAAAAGTAATTCAAAAAGTGAAGAAGAGTCCCGACCCGAAACGTCAGCTTTCCTGCTCCTCTGATGCTGCCAGGCATGTTGTGTTCCTCCAGCTCCACACTGTGTTATCTCTGACTCCAGCATTGGCAGTTCTTACTATCTTTAAGTAACCCAAAAAAGTGGACAAAAGAAATTAAGGGAACACAGTCGATAGTACCAGTTCACAGGGCTCAGTGAGGTGTCCATTTGATTTTTGTATCCCTCTGATCTCTGTACATTCCTTCAGCTCTTTAGTGAAGATAAGGACAGGTGGCATATTAATCATTCAGTTTCTCATACATTAGTTAGAACTGCAGTTTATGCACAAATGGTGAATGAAAATAGCTAGCTATCTTCCAATTCTTTCTTAAGTCTCTGCAAGCAGAGGGGATCTTGTCTTTTTAAGAGTCTGGGGGATTTCTCCTATGCATTGCTCATGCACAGGGTGCCCACCTGCCAGGAGCTAATGTAAACTTGCTGTCATGCTGAGCACCCTTGACCCACATAACTGGTCCTGATTGGTTGTTGAGTCAACAGATTGTCTCAGGTCAAATGCCCTGAACACATACCTACGGTGCTGATGAGCCCAGCAAATCTCCCCTCCTCTTTCAATAAAGCAACTATGAAAATAAAGTTTACAGCTGTAACTTGTTTTAAAATTGCAATATTTCCTTCCAAAGCTTGCTTGGTTTCATTTTTGGTTCCAAATCCAAAACTAAAGAAAATTAAAACAAAGTGATCTTTTTAAGATCTTACCTACTATTTGCCCTCGTATTGTATCACTGTCTGTTGGATTGAGCTTGCATAGATCTAACCGCTGGTCTGGTAAAAAAAAAAAGAGGGTGCAATGTTATCGGAATTGTGTGATGCAATAATTTGTATCGCCACACTGAAATTCTTAATACAGTTTGAAACATGGTTTTTATACTGTTTCAGTGATATTCTCAGAGGTTCGGATCTTGGGAAAACATATTACTCTTCATCTAAGCAGATTGGTGGGTTCCAATAGCCAGTGAACCCAAGATTGGATCCTAGACCTGTCAATATTCACACACCTCAATCTTGCTTATCCCAACTGATTGCTTAATAGAGGTGTTTCAGGATGTACAGGCTGCTTATCATTGGTGAGGTCACAAAGTAATAAGCATGGCAAAAAATACCTGACCTGATAGCTCACTTGACAGTTAGTAAGGGACAATCAATATTAACTAGTCATTAGAGTTTTATATCATGAAATCTTTACGTAAAGTTTCAAAACCAAACCTGAGAAATTGGCAACTTTTTTCTGTATGGAAGTCTCATGAAGCACTTAACAATAATAAGAGATAAAGAATGGGTGGGGTGAAAGAAGAATGTATTTGTCCCGGTTGACTAATTAATGAGAAGTCTTAAAAGGGTCTTTACATGTTATATTCACCTCTATGAGGAGGCTGACCAAATAAGGAATGAGAAACAGAGAAAGTACTGGACATATTCAGTCTGTCTGACAACATCTGTGAAGACAGAAACGGGAATTAACGTTTCAAGTTGATAGACTTTCATCAGAACTGGAAAAAGTTAGTGATCAAAGAAATTTTAAGCAAGCACAAGGGCAGGCAAAGTTCAGCATGGCAGTGGGGAGGGTAAAGGCAGAACAAAATCAAGATAGCAATCGAGTGGAAAGTAGTGGAGATTAAATCTCAGAAGAGACAATAGCAGAAGGCAAAAAAAAGAGATGTAGCATAGCCAGCAAAGACACAAAAGATCTGTTCGGTGGAGGTGTGAAACGAATAGCTACTATAAAGAAAATGATCGGAAACTGAAGAAACACATACTAAGTGAAGTAGTTCTGAAGGGCAAAATCAAAATAAGATTCCATTCTTCAATCTTAAGAGGGAAGAAAAATCAGAACGAAAGTGGAAGACAGAATCTGTCTGTTAACGAGGCATTTTACAAACTTTCTGACTAAAGATCATAACATCTGCCCCAATCTCTCCACCTATCTTCTCCTTTATCCATCTTCTATCCGCCTCCCCCCTCTCCTTATTTATTTCAGAATCCCCTTCCCCTCCCCCATTTCTGAAGAAGGGTCTAGACCCGAAATGTCAGCTTTCCTGCTCCTCTGATGCTGCTTGGCCTACTGTGTTCATCCACCTCTACACCTTTTTATCTCTTTATTCATAAATGGTAGTTTTTGGAGATGATTCTCCTATTTCCATTTACTGACCATCCACTGTTAATTTTACCATTCTCTGTTGTCTTATACCATCGTCCTTTATCATTTCGTATTTCCTGCTTTCCAATCCATCACAAATCCTTCTTGTCTTTGTACAATCTTAAATCCTGCTACATCTTCAATTTATTCAAGATCTGCTTGGATTTTCCAGCAATTTTTTTTAACATTCAGGTAGCTAACATCTTTTGTTTGTTTTTTTAAAAACCCAGAGTGAAGAGTGAAGCAGGAGTGGTTGCTTTCAACATGAAGGCATCAGCAAAGAATGGCACAACGAAGTCCTAGAGTATTTGGAATCAATGGGAAAATACATCAGTGGACTGAAGTCATGTCTTTGCAAGGTTAACATTGTTGGAGGTCAGTTACCAAAACCCCTGGGAGATGCTTGCCAGACTGCATAAGAAACTGTCTATGTTCAACCATCTGCAATTGTCACACTAATAAATCTTGTAGCAAAGCCCCACAGAGGTAATGGTTGGTTACCTTGTGTACACATTTCTCAAAACTTCTCAGATACTTAAAACAGTTTGTGACAGTCTCCAGGAAGGCACAAATAACATCAGCTTCAGGCTGACAAATAAAATGCAACATTTTACATTATGCAAGTGCCAGAAAATAAACATCTCAACGTGGCTCAGTGGTTAGCACTGCTGCCTCACAGGGCCAGGGACCCGGATTTGATTCCAACCTCAGGCAACTGTCTGAGTGGAGTTTGCACGTTCTCCCTATGTCTGCGTGGGTTTCCCCCGGGTGCTCCAGTTTCCTCCCACAGTCTAAAGACGTGCAAGTTAAGTGGATTAGCCTTGCTAAATTGCCCATTGTGTTTAGGAATGTGCAGGTTAGGTGCATTAGCCACAGGAAATGCAGGATTACAGGGATAAGGTACGGGAATGGGTCTGGGTGGGATACTCTTCGGAGGGTTGGTATGGACTTGTTGGGCTGAATGGCCTGTTTCCACACTGTGGAGATTCTATGATTCTATGAGAAATTCCAGCCTTCTCCCTCTAATTTTCAGAGGAACCCATATTACCAAGTCCTTCCCATGGATTGCCACCTTGCTCTGTTAGAGATTATTCAAGTGTGCAACAGCATCTCCACTTTAAAAGATGTCCTGCACAAGGCATCTAACTAGGGGAATTCAACTACCCCACACACACAACACAAGTCCTGAAGTGTGATGTGATGGATACAGGATCGAGAGATCTGGAATTCCCTAGCTTCAGACCGGTGGCAGAGTTTCAGTTGCCTCACTCTTGGCATAGGAACAGAAGAGCATTTTGGCAGCTTTCTTCATGACTGGGCAACCCTTTTCAGGATCCAATTTGCTCACCCAGGAAGGGGAAGGGCTAGAAGAGGTGCCTAAAAATAGTCTATTACCAACCTGGCTGGAAAACCATGTACAACGGGCTCATCAACCTGCCGTCTCCACACTATCCGCGTGGAGTTTGCACGTTCACGCCATGTCTGTATTGGTTTCCTCCGGGTGCTCCAGTTTTCTCCCACAGCCCAAAGTTATGCAGGTTAGGTGGATTAGCCATGGGAAATGCAGGATTACAGGAGTAGGGTGGGGGTGGATCTGGGTGGGATACTCTTCAGAGGGTTGGTGTGGACTCGATGGCCTGGCCATGTGACCTGCTTCCACACTGTAGGGATTCTATGATGATTTCTATGAAAACGCAGAAATGTCCTTGTTATCCATGAACTCAGGCACGTCAACACTGATATTGCTGCCTTGTAAGGGACTCGAAAAGCAGGCAGAAAGGCAGCTGAGGCAGCTGGCGGTTACACCTTCAGGAGGAAAACACGAGCATCAATCTGGATTTGCCATCAAGAATGTTGTCATTAACAATCACTTCATGACTTTCCTTCTATGACTTGACAAGAAGTAGCAGGTAACTCTCACTTAGTATGGCAGAAGTTGAAGCCACCATAACACACATGAAGAATGGAAAAGCTGCAGGAATAGATGGGATTCCAGGGGAAATTTTTAAATTTGGAGGAGCAGAGCTTACCTGCCATCTGCATAAACTGTTTCTGAAAATCTGGGACAAAGATAAAATCCTTGCCAATCTCAGGCAGACTGACATCACAACGGTCTTTGAGAAAGGAAGTAAAGTAGACTGTGGGAACTATTCGGGAATCTCCCTACGGTCCATCACCGGGAAGGTCATCATTCAAATCCTTGCAAGAAGCCTTCTCTCAGTCTCTGAGGAAATCCTTCCTGACCAACCAAACCGTAGAACTATGGATGATTTTCACTGCTTGGCAACTCCAAAAAAAAGCAGAAACATCACCAACCATATGATCTTCATCAAACTGACCAATGCTTTTGACTCAATCAATCGACAAGTGCTATGGAAGACCCTGCAAGCTGTCCAGTGAAATTCATCAATGTTAGCCATGTCCTCAAGATGCAGGCTATGATCCTCACCAATGGTTATATGACAAGATCCTTTGAGATCCAGATAGGGTCAAGTATGGATGTGACATCTGACCCACCCTTTTCTCCATCTTCATCACCACCATTCTTCATTTGGTCAAAAACAAACTTCCCTGTGGTGTGGACATTGCCTATAGGATGGATGGAGAACCTTTCAACCTCAACCGGCTGAAATCCAAGAGGAAAACGTCATTGACTTAAGTATGCAAATGACAATGTCATCTCTACTCTCTTGGAAGAGAATCTTCAAACTTCACTTAATGTCTTCATGGAAGCATACTGAAGAATTTGTCTCAGCCTCAACTTCCAGAAGATTCAAATCCTTTACCAACCCAGGTCAAGTTCCAGTCCATCCCTCTATTAAGATCAACAGTGAAATGCTTCCCATACCTGGGAAGCTACTTCTCTTCTAAGACTGACATTGATACAGAGATTCAACGTTGCATCAAATGTGTAAGCATCACCTTTGGATGACTGTGACATCCGTGCTGATACCGAGATCTTTGTGTATAAGCATCCGTCTGACACCTCCATATGGCTTTGAAACTTGGACTACGTGTAGGTGCTATCTCAGGACCCTTGGGAAGTGCCATCAATGCTGTTTGAGATGGATTCTCTGCATTAGCTGGGAAAACAGGTGCACTGACATCAGCATCCTTGAAGCAGCTAACAGCACTAGCATCAAGCCCACGATCATCCGACACCAACTCTGGTGGGCAGGCCATATGCTCAGGGTGTACAAGTTCTGCCTACCACTGCAAATCTTCTTCGCCTAATTCAAGGAAGGCACTTTAATGAGAGGAGGACAAAGGAAGCACTTAAAAGAACACCCTGAAGGCTTCCCTCATAGAGTCAGAAAGATATACAGCACAGAATCAGACTCTTCGGTCCAACCCATCTATGCCAACCAGATATCCTAAATAAATCTAGTTCCATTCGTCAGCATTTGGCCCATATCCCTCTAACCCTTCCTATTAATATAGCCATCCAGATGCCTTTAAAATGTTGTAATTGTACCAGCTTCCACCACTTCCTCTGGCAGCTCATTCCATATACTCACCACGCTCTATGTGAAAAAGCTGGCCCTTAGGTCCCTTTTAAATTTTTCCCCTCTCACCTTAAACCTACGCTCTCTAGTGTTGGACTCCCCCACCCCAGGAAAAAGACCTTGTCTATTTATTCCATCCATGCCCCTCATAAACCTCTATGAAGTCACCCTTCAGCCTCCAACGCTCCAGGAAAAATGGTCCCAGCCTCTTCATCCTCTCCCTATAGCTCAAACACTCCAACCCTGGTAAAGTCCTTGTAAATCTTTTCTGAACCCTTTCAAGTTTCACAACATCCTTCCTATACCAGGGAGACAAGAATTGTGCGCAGTATTCCAATAGTGGCCTAACCAATGTCTTGTACAGCCACAACAGGAGCTCCCAACTCCTATACTCAATGCACTGACCAATAAAGGCAAGCATACCAAACTGCCTTCTTCACTAAATAAAAAACGAAAGAACTGTGGATGCTGTAAATCAGGAACAAAAACAGAAGTTGCTGGAAAAGCTCAGCAGGTCTAGTAGCATCTGTGAAGAAAAGTTCTGAGGAAGGGTCACCGGACCCGAAACATTAACTCTGATTTTTTTCTTGACAGATGCTGCCAGACCTGCCGAGCTTTCCAGCAACTTCTGTTTTTGTGCCTTCTTCACTATCCCATCTACCTGGGGCTCCACTTACATTCCGAAGATCCTCATTCTGAAGAAATCAACTTGGAAGAAACTCCATAACAAAGGGACACAATTTTTCACAAGTGCCAACACACTTGTTGGCAACAGGATGTATGGAAAAGGAACCAGAGAAATGCCAATGATCTCAAAGCCAAGGAGCTCTTCTACCCATCACAAACACCTGCCAAACATGTGGTCAGAGATGCGGCTCTAGAATTGGGCTTACGTGCCACACAAGGACCTACAAGAACCCATGACCAGTGACATGGAATTTCCTGGGTGAACAATCTTACTTGTTAGCGAGTGATTGCTGATGACGATATTACCAAATCCCCCACTGTCAAAACCTTAAGACTGATCATTGCTCTGAAGTGCATTTCTGGAATCCACATTATAGGAGGGATGTGATAGCAGTGGAGAATGTGCAGAGGAGATGTACCAAGATGCTGCTGGATGTGGAAGGTTTGAGTTATAAAGAAAGACTGGATACGCTGGGATTTTTTTCCACTGGAACGTAGAAGATTGAGGAGTGACTTTAAACAGGTTTATAAAATCATTGAAAAACATTTAAAAGACACTTAGATAAGTACATGAATGGGAAAGGTTTGAAGGGATATAGGCCAGGAGCAGGCAGGTAGGACTTGCTTAGTTTAGATTATGTTTGGCGTGGACTGGTTGGACCAAAGAGTTTGTTTCCGTGCTATATGACTCCATGACTCTATGACATGATTGATACATGTAAAATTATAAGGGGCATAGTGGGGTAGAGAGGAAGAAACTTTCCCCCTTGATGAGATCAATGAGCAGAGGGTAAAGATTTAAGGAAAGAGGTAGAAAGTTTAGAGGAGATGTGAGAAAAAATTTTTTTTGAAGCATAGGGTGTGGGGGTCTGGAACTCACTGCCTGTAAGGGTGCTGGAAGCAGAAACCCTCATAACATTTATGAAGTATTTAGATGTGCACTTGCAAAGCCAAAGCATAGAAGGCTATGGGCCAGGTGCTGGAAGATGGGAAAATTGTTAGGTGATTATTTTTGACCAGCTTGGACACAATGGGCATAACATTCAAGACGTTCATCACCAACCAAGACAAAGCAGTTTATTTGATCAGTATCACTGCTGCTGGACTAATATCCATTTCTCCATTACTGGCATATTACGGCTGTGGTTTGTACAATCTTCAGTATGTACTACAGTAACTCACTCAGATTACTTAAGACAGCATCTCTCCATCCCTACAGTTTCTACCAACAAGAAATAGTACTTCATTGCTATTACTGAAACGCGGTTTAAAGGGCAGAAATGATAGCTCAGTATTTCATGCTAAAGGATTTTCCGATGGCATCGAGGGAGTATGATGATACTATGGCTTTAGGACGTGTAATTTTGGGGCTCTAGTCGGAATCAAAATTGCTAATTCTAGGTTGGGTTTAGGATTGTTGGACTCAAAGGCAGTGAGTTGTGAGTGTTGGTGACTTTTATGTTGGGTGTTGCATTTGGTTGGTATAAAGGGGGTGTACTTTGTGTAATAATGGCTCTTTCAGTAGCTAAGAGTTTCCTGAGGCTGGAAGAAGTCATTTTGGGAGTTTTACAGAAAGTAAGCAAGGCAAAGCTTGTGGAATTGGCAAACAAGCTGGGACTGGGGTTGCCTGTGTCTGTGAGGAAAGGGGAGATAATTGTGGCAATCACACAGCATTTACAATTGCCAGGAATGCCATTGGAATCTTTAGAAATGACTGAAATTCAATTGAAAATGAAACAGCTTGAACATGCAAAGGAAATGAAACAGTCTGAATTATGATTAAAAACAGAAGAAAGTGAATTTTTGAAATTAAGAGGCTGGAACTGAGAACTCAAAGTCGACTTAAAATGGCGGAGATAGAAATGAAAGCTAGGAGTAATGATGAGTACAGTGATGGAGAGCAATCCTGTCATGGCCAAAGGCCCGGTTGAGATCTGTTTAAATATGTCCGAGGATTGCCTAAGTTCAACAAGAAGGATGCAGGAGCCTTTCACATTTCACTACAGAAAATGACTAAACTAATGAAATGGCCAGTGACCATGTGGGTATTGTTAATCCAAACAAAGTTGGTAGGTAGAGCTAGTCAGGTATTTACATCGTTATCAGAGGAGGCATCTGGGGTATATGATGAGGAGAAAAATGCCATCTTAAGTGCGTATGGGCTAGTACCAGAAACCTACAGACAGCATTTTAGGAATCTAAGGAGGGAACCTGGTCAAACGTACATTGAGTTTGAAAGGATCAAACAAAGTAATTTTTATAGGGAGAGAAGGGCATTGAAAATAGATCAAACATATGACGCTCTTTAAGAGACGATTATTTTGGAGGAGTTCAAAAATTTACTTCTTGAAGTAGTGAGTACTCATGTAGGAGAACAGAGAGTTAAGACTATAAGAAATGGCAGATGATTATGAGTTGGTTCATAAGTCAAAGTTTGGCTTCTGACATCAATTTCAATCTGTGAGGGATAGAAATTAGGGAAAACAGAAATCTTCAGGTGGTAAGAGAACAAGGAGATCTCATTGAAGATAGCAAAGATAGTTTACCACAGGGTAAAAAGGAAACATGTGAGGGAGAAAGAGATGTAAGAAGGCCCAGATGTTTTCACTGTAACAAAGTAGGCCTCATGAAGTCGTGGTGTTGGTGGTTTAGGAAAAACACTGGGAAGAGGGATGTGGGTAAACAGGATAAGCCAGTGAGTTTTGTTGAAGTAGTAAAGGAAAGCATAGTGGAAGTTAAAAAGCTGCAAAAGAATGTACAACCTGGTGGTTGAAGAAAGTGTCAGATCTCTTTAAAGAATTTAACTGCACGGGCAAGGTTATTCATACATGCTAGGAGAAGCAGATGAAGAAATTAAGACTTTGAGAGGTATGGGAGCAAGTCAGTCTTTTATGGTGACAGTTGAGGAGATACGTAATTCAGAAGGAGTACCGTCAGAAAAAGTGGTAATATGTGGAACTCATGCTGAGAAGAGCAGTGTTCCATTATATAAGGTGAGGTTGCAGAGTCCAGTGAAAAGTGAAGTGGCGGTCGGAGTAATAGAAGAATTTTCAGTTCTAGAAATTCAGTTTATCCAGGTGGGAGTGATGCCTACTATGGTTGAAAAGCCAGTGGAAAATTAGTCACTGAGGTGTAACAGGAAGTATATCCTGGGATTTTTCCTGACTGTGGTAACAAGGTCACAAAACCACATGTGGAAACCGGAAGAGAAATCAAAGAGTAAAGATAAGGAAATTGAAGTTCAGTTATCAGAGGCTATGCTTAATCAAATGGTTGAGAAAAAGCATGAACAGGTGGAGGACAACGTGGATACTTTTAGTTTAGGGACATTAACTGAATTACAATGGAAAGATGAAAAGCTAAAGCAGTTGTATCAAAAATCAAACTCAAGAAGCACTGGAGTGTATCCCTGAATGTTACTATCTTAAAAATGATGTTTCGATGAGGAAATGGAGACCATCACATATTCAGGTGGATGAAAAATGGACAGAGGTTCATAAAGTTCTATTACTGGTTATAGAAAGGAGATGCTGTGGGCAGCACATGAATTACCAGTAGGAGGCCATTTGGAAGCAAGGAAAACTCAAGCCAAAATACATTTTTATTGGTCTGGACTGCATAAGGATTTGGTTGAATTTTGCCACACATATCATAAGTGTTAGGTAATTGATAAACCTCAGACAGTGGTAAACCAGCACTCTAACATCCATTCCTGCATTTGAGGAACCTTTTACAAAAGTATTAACTGATAGCGTCGGATTCTCAACTAAAACAAAAATGTTGGAATCAGTATTTGTTGACCATAATGGATGTGTCTACTAGATTTCCAGAGGTCATATCATTGTGCAGTATCATGCTAGAAGGACTGTAGAGGAGTTACTCAAATTTTTTTACTACATACAGACTATCCACAGAGATACAAACAGATCAAGTGTTAAATTTTACATCTAAGCTATTCAAGGAAGTTACAGAAAGGTTAGAAATGAAACA